CTGTCTTTGTGTTAAGTAAGAAATATATAATAAAGAAATTGAGTTGAGATCTATGTGAAAGAATCTTTGTGTAAGAATACAGAATGTGTCACTTAAGCGAATTGATACTTGACGGGTTTGGAATACTCCTAATAGAATGGAGGGAAAAAAAACTGTTGCTAACGTTAACGAATGCCGCGTTTCCACAACCAATCAGGATCGAGATACACACACTATGTCACTTGCAATTATCCCATTGTTACTTTTATATTGTTGGCGAAAAATTACGTTTAGAGCAGAGGTGTCAAACTCAATTTTGCAGAGGGCCATATATTAAATTTAGAATGTGTAGGTGGGCCAGATTCAAATAAAAAAAATTTACTGAACTATTATAACATTTTATTTATCTAATTATATGGTATATAATATACGGTTGTTAAAAATCATATCAAAGTTATAAAAGATGGTAATTATTTTGAGCTCGAGAATCCAGATACCTGACTTCTCTTGTTCTCAGAATGCGTGCTGCATGCTTTTTTAATTCCGGGTAGTTATCCAAACTCTTGAAATATTGTGTATAAAATGTAAGAGCGTTAACCTCTTTAAATTTTTCTTTCAAAATACTGTCCGATTGAAGATTTATCAACTCCATTTGCAAATGAACTGGTGCCTGTGAAGCTTCAAAATTGAATGGATTGTTGAAAATTGGGAATTCCGTTTCATTCATTTTGTGGAAGTCCTCAAAACTATTGTTGAATTCCGTAATCAGATTTTGCAGAAGTTGAGAATACTGATCCAATTTTTTTGGTTCACTGTGCCAAATGATTTTAAATGAGGGAAATGATCCAAAGTTTGATTTTTTACCTGATTTTCCCACGGCCTCAACTTTGTTTCAAAGACTTGAATACATTTGAGTGACATTCAGATTTTTACCCTGTAATTTTACATTCAGATCAGTCAAGTGTTAATTCATATCTACCAAAAAGACACAATCAATCCACCAGTCATTGTCATAATGAATTGGGTTGCCTTTTTCTTACATGAAAGCTTGAATAGAGTCACGTAATGCAAAAAATCTTTCTAAAACTACTCCTCGATTGAGCCAACGAACTTCAAGGAAATAAGGGACATCAAAAAAAAATTTTCGTTCAAATCTTGTAAAAACTGCCTGAACAGTCGGTGATTTAGTCCTCTGCTCCTTATAAAATTTACTATTTTTAATTATAGGTAGCATGACATGGTCCATTTTTAAATACTTGGATGCCAATGATTCCTGGTGAATTATACAGGGAAATCCCACAAAATTCCCTGATGTTTTCTGTTTTAATTTAGTTACAACGCCCGAATGATTGCCAGCCATGGCAGGAGCGCCATCCGTAGTTGTGCTGCTAAGTATATTCCAGTCGAAGATTTCGCCTGTTGCTAAGAAATGCCGTTACTGTCTATCTCTCTCGCTTGTCTACTGCCCTTGAAATTACTTATAAATGTAGTGTGCACATTTTAAAACTTCCGTAGAGGAATCGAGTGAAGTCTAAAAGCTCAAAAAAACACGATTCTTCTTTCTGTGGACATATCGCGATCGCGGGCCGTATCTTTGACATGACTGGTTTAGAGCAATTTTTTTTTTGTTGCCAAAGTCGACGTTTTTTTTTTTTTTTTTTTTTTTTTNTTTTTTTTTTTTTTTTTTTTTTTTTTTTTTTTTACACACACACTTGTTGTTTTTCCAAATTTTTTTTATTTTATTTAAATTTTCATGTTTTTTAAATTTACGAAGGATAATTATTAAAAAATAATAATTGTTAAAAAATAATAATTAATAAAAAAAATAAGTAATAAAAAAATGATAATTAATAAAATGTAAATAATGAAAAATAATAATAAGGGTAATTAATAAAAAATGACGCTTGAACAAACTGTTTTTTTTTTTTAAATTGAAATGTTCCTTTTTATTTGGTACACTTTATTTTTATAGCTCAATTAATTTAAGCTTCTCTTATTTCTTACATTTCAATATGTAACACAGAGAAAAATAACTAATTAAAAATGATACATTTACTATAATAGTAAAAAAAAAAAAAATATTGCATATTTTGAAACTTTGTTATGTATGTTCCCCTATAAAGTTGCTGTTTTCCAAAACTTGATTACTTTAAGCTTGTCATTTTTCTAAAAATTAAGAAGTTAATTATAAAGAAAAATAAATGTAAAAAATATTAACAATTAAGGAAAAAAAAGTACTGAATATTTTAACACTTTGAAATAAATTCATGGTACTCTGTTTTTCAAAATTCTATCAATTTAAGGTTTTTATATCTTTAATTTTTTAAAAACATTATAGAGGAAAATAAACTGTTATAATTAAAATATATTTATATCCTTTGCTTATTTTAACATTTAGAAATGTCTTTATTATGATGCACTTCTGTTTTCGAAAATTTAACGTATTTAAGTCTCTGTCAAATTATTATTAAATTTTTTTTTTTTTTAATGTTTTTTTTTTTTTTTTTTTTTTTTTTTTTTTTAAACTTAGCATCATTGAGCAAATATAGTTAGTTAAAATTTTAAAGTAAACTATTTAGTCCCCCCCCAGCATTTTTCTCATTCAAAAAATACTTCCAGTTTTTTAATCTTTTTCACTCTGTTTTCTTCCTTTTAATTTTTTCTTTTTTTAAATGCCTTTTTTCTACTTTTTTTTTTCAAAGACTTGATAACTGTAAAACTGACTCAATTTTTTTATTTTAATTTCAATTTTTTTATTATCTGTGACCAGACTTGTATAATATACACGAACATTCGGACAATGTTTGAGTAAAATTTGTAAAATTTTTTAATATTACTAAAAAAAGAAAAAAATAATCAGTCTCTTCAAAGCAAGTTATTCTTTATCGATTTCCCGAGAAAACAAAGAAAGAAAAGATTCATTTTTGCCCTTTGTTCTGCAAATGCAAACGTGATTTAAAATTGCATTCGCATTATTTAAAATCACACATCGGGATTCCTGTTAACACGATTTAAGAAGTGCATTGTGTTTCGTATATATACGATTTTTTATATCAAATATCGCGCTTCGTTAAAGCTCTTCACTATTTTGATACATATTGAAGCCAAGTAACTTTAAAATTTTACATCTGAATTCTAATTCACGCGATTTTAAAATCAAACATAGAAATTCGTATTAATGCGACTTTAAAATTAAACATTGAGTATTTGCAAAACTGAATGTCGAGATTTGTATTCACGCGATTTAAAAATCACATATTGAGATTCATATTCACATAAATAAATAAAATCTCGCTTCAACATTTTTATTAAAATGTTAATAATATTGATTGTTAATTAATTAATGTTTCCTACAAACCCTTTTTCCTTGCTTAAATTTCTGGTATTTTTTCAATTATTTAAACCCTTCAATTATTTTGCCATAGGCTTGCCTTAAAAAATTACTATAGGATTCTCCTATGGAGTTTTGCCTATGGTAAAGTTTTGCTATACACTTTTGCCATAAACATATGCCAAAATTCGTATGGCAAAAACTGCATACCTTATTTATAATTTTTTATGTAAAAAAGAGCTTAAAAAGTGTGCATTTTTTCTTAAAAAAATTTGCTATGCACTCTGCTAAATAATTCTTTAACCCTTTGGCACAGATGAGACTCCGATGTCCCTTTTATATATTTTTCTCTGATGCTCTAATTACTTGCAAATATATACTTTGCAGGGTGCGTAGTATTTTTTGAAAAGGCTTAAAGGTGCTTATTTTTGATTTAAGTTTTTAAAAGCCCTTAAAGGTGCTTTTTTTATTCAGGGTTTGTAAAAAGTGCTTAATTTTTAAAGTGCTTAATTTTAAAAGTGCTTAATTTTAATCTTTTAAAAAGAGGTTTTTTCTTTGCCGTATCGATTGTTGTTCTGAGTTACCGGAAATGTTACCCCCATGGCATTCAACGTGTTCATTATAAAAAACAGTCTTAAGACTTACCAAAAAAAAAAACTGTTAGATTTTTGGAATTAATTTTGTACTAAAATATTAAATCAAAAATAATTTGATCTAAAAAAGTTGTTTTTTTTTCCATTCATATTTAAAAATTAATTCATCAATGATCGATTTTTCTAAATTGAGGAATTTCAATGATGAATAACTGTTTTTCGTGGATCCAAATAACAGCAAAAAGTGCAAATAATTTTAAAAACTTGTTTGGAAGTGAGTGATATTTTGAAGATTTTACCTTTTACGCAAAAAAGACATCAGTGTTTCATTCAGTATTTCATAACTATGAATTATTAAAGTGCTAAACATAATAATATATTTCTCCTATTTTGATGTAAATTTATACAAAATAACGAAATAAAGTATGAAAAATATGTTTAATAAAAATTCTTCATTGTAGGATTAAGGTAAAAAGATGTTGATAGTTTAAAATTCTAGCTTTGCCTCATGTAAGACCTGTAAATATTTTTTTTCTTTTCTTGGTGCTAGCTTTGTGAGCCTCGATTAACGCTTTTAAGCACTCTATCAAAATTTGTAATTGATTATATTTGATAAAACCTTATTGTTTACCGAATTTAATTACATATAAATAAGAATTTATAAAACCAAGTTTATTCTTTTTTATTCCCTTAGCCTTGCTTCTTTTTCATAGCAAAAAACATGCCCCAATCGCTGTGCATAAAAAATAATAAATAATATTATAAATAGTGACGTGCTCACATTGATGGATAATATTTAATACTTATCAAAATAATCTTTTTCTGTAAATAGTAGTGTTCTGCATTTAGACCTTCAATGTTTATTCATGCCAAACCTCCAATGTAAAACAATTCTATCAATATTTATTTGCACTTAATAATTCTTTTTTAAAATACCTAATACTTAAAAAATGTTTGAAAAAACTTGTTCCTGAGTGTATTTTATAGAGAATCATGCTCAATGCAAAAATGCAAAAATTTTAAATTTTTCAAGACTTGATTGTTATGTATTTTTGCTTCAGTGCTTAATTTTTAATGTATATATTTTTCCTTTGCAGGGGGTTCGTTAAAGCTGAGCTTAGGTTTTACTGCTCTTTCTCCACCAGAAGTAATACTTTCAAGAAATCATCATTTATTGCTGAACTGCTCTGGATATTCAACTGAGGGTCCTCTTCACACATCTTGGCAATTTCAGGTTAGTTTAGTTATCATCATAATTGTGCGAAGACTCTTTTTATAAGGGTGGGCAACTCTCTAAAAAGTTATTGAATCAAATTCCTTACTTTTCTTATGATTTGTCATTGTAAATAAATCCAAATATATTTTTACTTAGACATTCACTTTGTAAAGAACTTTGTAAAAAATATTATTTCTTAAGTGATAAAATTGTACTAAATGTTGTCCAATATATTGGATGCAAGAGGATATTCAAGATTAATGCCCTATAAAAATGGGAGAAGTTGACATGTATGATATTAGTACGGTATAAAGTGAAGACCTTGGGATAAGGGGCTGTTCAGATATTATGTAAGCATACTTTTGCTACTTTTGGACTACATTTCCACGTCAGCAAAAAAAGAAAAATTACTAACCCTAGGGGTGCAGAATATGTCTGATCGTGTGAACAAGATTTCGGAAAAATTCCGGCAGCACAAGAAATTTTTTTTGTTTTATTTACCAAAAATAAAATACAACAAAAATTTTTGCTGATAAAAACGAAATTGGGAATGGAATATTATTCCTTCAGAAAGTCTTACTGGAATGAAGAACGATGATTGCCTTGGTGAACTACCTACTTACCTATGCTCTTTGTGCCAGCTGGTGCAAAAAGCCTGGAGTCTCTTTTTTTCAGGCATCCCTGCCCTGAGTCAGTCCTTGCCTCCTCTCATTCATTTAGTTTTGCTTTGCACAGATCTTTGTGCACTTATCTTTGCCTTTCTTTTATGCGTTTTCCGTCGGTGACCTAAGTAAATTTCATGTTATCAAGGATGTCCCATTTTAAACAAAGGATTTGTCCAGTCCATCTTCATCTTTTCTCTAAAATGTCCTCATGAATGGGTGATAATTTTGCTTTTTTTCAACAGATCTTTATTTGAAATGGTTTTAGGTCAGAAGATTCTTTAGCATTTGTTCTGAAACGTTTCAAATTTTTCTGTTTCAGTTTAGCGGAGGTTCCAACATTCAGCTCCATGTAAAAGTACGGAGCAAACAACAGCTCTAAAAACAGTTATTTTTATCTTGATTTTTATATTTGAAGCTCTCCAAAACTTTTGAAGATTTCTGAAACAAGTTAAGCTTTTATGATTTTTTGGTTTAAATACCATCCTTGCTCCCTGTTTATTTACTGTTGCTTCTAGGCATGTAAAAGAATAAATTTCTTGAAACTGATTCTTGTTCTGAAGAATGTTTTCTGTCGAGTTAAATGTAACACAAATAACTAATATCCTGGTTTGTTTATTTATTCGTAGGAATTCCGTAAGTTTTTCGAGTGGGAACATAAATTTGGATATATAAATAATTACTAATTCAATAGATTTTGATTTCTATTATTTTTGATGCATATGCTAGTTCATCCAAGACTCATGTAAAATCTAATGAATTTTTTTCCTGCTTAAGTAGAGCAAAAATTATCTAAAAAATTTTAACTATTTGCGAATTTTACTTACTAAAATTTTTTGAAAAGCTATGAAAAAAAAAAAAAAACTAAATTTTTAGATTTGGGCAAAATTAGAAGAGAAAAAAAAAATGTGTTCTGGTATAATATTTAGCTCTGAGAATTTTCTGCACCCCTGCAAACCCTTCCCATATTAAAATAAAATAATCTATTCACCCCTGCTGTGTTTTTTTCTTTAACTTTGGCAATTTTATATAGCAGGCATTCCAGACTTTTTGTGAAAGGTCCGTTTTTCGTGAAATTGTGTAAAAATTACTCACATTCTTTCAACCAGGGTCCGCTTTTATGAATTTGTGCAAATAGGATCCGTTATTGCAAAAAAAAAAACTTTTTCAAGGAGTTTTTAAATTGTAAAGACATACAAGATTATGCTCATCCCTGTAAAATTATAATTAAAAAAATAAAATTTTAAGAAGTAAACAACAATTGCTGCTTCTAAATTAGATATGCAACATACAAATATTTGGTATTTAGCCTATACTGCTGAACGCAGAATATTAACTTCGGACAAATAATGGAAGAATCGTCTGCCGAAGACAAAACTTAATTCGTTTACATCCATCTTTCTTGTTTTCTGCCGTGGNCATTATCCGAATATGTGTTCGTTGTCCGAACTCAAAAAATCTTCTTTGAAATTGTTCGTTATCCGAATATGTGTTCGTTATCCGAACACAAAAATCTTTCGTGAAAGTGTTCGTTAACCGATTTGTTCGTTAACCGATCTGTTCGTTAACCGATCACCCACTGTAGTAATCTAAAGTTTAGAATTTTAATATAAATTCCAATTAAAACTGTAATTTAGTATAAAATAAACTTTATGAAATAAAATCTAAAAAGTAAAATCTTTTATTTTATAATTTTTTTGTGGGTGATGGTTATATTTAAGTTGTTAACTCTGTCTATATTTATGTATGAAAACAAAAATATGGAAAAGGCTTGACATATATTGTAACCCTTCTAAATAGTTTGATCAATTGAAATAACAAAAAATTTACTATCTTTATGAACTTGTCTTTTTAAATTATATATTTAAGTTAAATTTAAAATGTTTTTATATGTCTAGATATAAAAATTATTCAGAGGAAAACTTATTCAGTCCTTTTGGTAGGTTAAGATATGTTTCTGCCTTGTCTCTATTTATGTAGGACTGTTGATTTTTTTGTTAAAAAAATTCACCAGCATTATTCATCAGATAAAATTAAGTGCAAAATTTTTGCTTGACAAAATAAAAAATGCTTTTTCAAAGTTTTTTTTTATGTAGGTAGTTTTTTTAGAAATTTAAATGATAAAAATTACTTTTAAGCCATATTTTTTTCATAATTTCAGTATACAGTGTACTCTCAATGTCTCAAAGTTGAAGGGGTGCTAAACAAATTTCGAGATAGCGAGTTTTCGAGCTAAAAACTTTAGAACTAAATATGTTCTAAAAAGTAAAAGAAATATATTCTAAAATATCTCTCTATAAATGTGAGTCATGAGACTTCAGAATAACTACTAATAAATATGCATGTAATGATAGTTGAGTAAAAGTCTAAGCACAACAATGATAATTTTATTTTTAAAAGTAAGACAAAAATAAGTATGTATTAAATAGAAAATTACAATCCACTTACATCGTGATTTTTCCGAAAAAATTCATTTTCTATTTCGAAAGAAATTCGACATAGCAAGGTTTTGAGAAGAAACTCTTCGACATAGGAATTCAAATTAACATTAGGTAAATATATAATGCCAAGGAGAAGAATATTTTTTTGACATAACAAGAATTTCGAAGTTCGAGTTATCAAGAGTATACTGTATTAGTTTCTAAAAGCTTAAAATAGAGAGTTTCAGGTTTTGAATTAAAAAAAATTAAGTAACAGTTAATTCTCCTCTAATTAATGAAGGGGTTGCTCAGATATAATTTAGAAAATTACTTTTTCAGGACAATGACATAAAAGAGAAGCACTTTAAAGTCTTCTCTAATGGCTCTTTGTATAGTGAAAGATTACCTTCACAGAAAAAGAAAGAGCGCCGTTGGGAAGGCAATTACACTTGTCTGCTTCGAAACAAAGTTGGGACATTGGTCAGCAGGCCAATTAGAGTGATCTTTGCTCGTAAGTTACCTCTCTTTTTTTTGCACCCTAATTTTTATTGATGTTAATATCTTAAAGAGGTAGGTAATTAAAACATGTAAAGTCAGGGGTATTTAATTCTAATTTATCACTACTTTTTTCATTTGTAAATGAACAAATTATGAATAATTTACTTTTTTTGTACACCAATTTTTATGGATGTTAACATCTTAAAGAGGTAGGTATTTAAAACATAGATCTTTTCCTGTTATTAGAATGTCTTCTTTAACACGTTGAATGCCATGGGTGACTGGCACTAAGTTTGTTCGTAGCGCCATGGGGGTCACCGGTTATCGACAAAGCCAAGATTATTTGAAACACATAATTCGAGTAAATTTTTAATGCTTTTAATTTTTTTATACTATTGTTACTAAAATGGTTTCAAGAAATTAAAGCATCAGAACTCAGTGTGTTTCTTCTCAAAATGAAATAACTTTAATATTTTTTTTTAAAAATAAAAAGCACTTAGAATTTCTAAATGATATACACGGGAATTTACTAGTTTCAAAAGTAATCTAAATGGACATTTTTAGCATTATAAAGATAACATTTAGGTTAGGACTGTTAAAGTAAGATATATGAATAGGAAAAATGATGCAGGAACTAATAAGTTGAGGTTTGACTGTATTTATTCCAACACATAACTGAAATTAACCAAGTTTTGACTGTTATTGATGAAAAGTATGAAAGAAGGCAAATCATCATAGTCATTTATCAGGTGGACACTTTTTAATATTTTGATAATTTTTTGACTTAAAATAGTTTTGGGTCATATTTTAGTTTTTAAAATAAATTTCTATATTCAAAGAAGATTTTATATTCAAAGAAATTTTTCTTCCTTTCGGTAGGGAATATTTTTTTAGTCAATCATTTTATTTTCAAATCACACCCTCACAAGAACTAACTAACAAATAAGAAGGCATATTTATAACCTACGATTTAACTGGACAGAAACTTGACGTTTTAACTTTTAATTTTTTTCATAGGGCTTGTTTTTAAATTTTTTTGGTGGGAAAATGTTTTTCTAGTTATTTCATTTCATGTTGTATATTTAATGCTTATAACTTTATATTCTTAAATAAAATATCGTTAAAGAGCAATCAACTCTTTAGTTGAATATGAGTAAGTACATTGTTACTCTGTTTCTAAAAACATTTGTAAAATCTTGTTAGAGGCTTCTGAAATAATAATTTGAGCTCCTTTGATTTTTTTCCATTCATTTAAATATTAATTTACGATAAAGTTGATTCATGACTCTAATATTTGCATTTTTCCAAATAACTTATGTCACACCACTCCAGACCATTTGCGTTTTCATAATTTTAGTTTTGTCTTTTAAAATTAATAGTTTTACAAAACAATTACTGACAATGAAATATTTGGGAGTGTTTCTTTTTGTTCTGAAATAAATGAACTGTAATATTTGTAAAAAAATTATATTTTATTTGTACAGTTTATGCCCTGTTTAATGAAAACAAAATGAAAGGTTCATAGGAAAACGAACGTTATAACATGAGGTTGCCATATAATGTGCAATTATGATGCAAGTGGTATATTGCCATGTACCATTTGCATCATAATTTGCTGGGACTTCATGTAATGGCGCTATAAAGGATGAATCTTAGTTATGTGGGCTGTAAAGAGCATAAACTGTATTTTCTTTGGTTTCTGAAACGGGTGGTATGTTTTGATTTGGGGGTTTGTCCCCAACACTTTAGAGGGGAGAGCACCTCAGACTATAGTTACACAAACTTCTTCCATTTTTTAAAATTTAAATACGCTTTCCTTTTTATTATGATACAGGTATGTCAAAAACTTTCACATCCAAGCCCCAACCGCTCACTGTCAAAGAAGGTGGATTTGCTCGCTTCAGTTGCCAAATTAATGCTGTGCCACCACCAGTCGTCTCATGGTACAGAGATGGCATCCAACTACCTCAAAACAACACTAGGTTTGTACCACTGCTCTTGTTATGTTTTAAATTTTTTTTATCTTATGTTATTGGAGGTGCAAATGTACTTGGTAATACCCTATAGATGGTGTATTAAAGCCATTAGTCCTTCAATTTTGTTTCCTTGAAAGTAGGACAGCTTTGATTTTATTTAATACTAAAAGAAAACACAAATATTTTTAATTCTAAATAGAAAAAACTTCTNATAAAGTTACGACCCGCCATTTGACTGGTCTTTTTAATTGCGGTCCCCGGCCTTATGTACGTTGGAAACCCCTGCTATAGATGGTCTATTAAAGCCATTAGTCCTTCAATTTCGTTTCCTTGAAAGTAGGACTGCTTTGATTTTATTTAACCCCCTGGCTGTTTAGTACATAGAAATTCATAACTCTTTTCTATCCTCCCAAGTGGTTGTGCATGTAAAAAACCTCCCACCATTTTATATCAACAGAAGTAACCATTTTGATCCCCTTTCTACCATTCACTCATTTTCTATATTCTAAAAAAGTGCCCCTTTGTGCCACAGTTTTCTAATTGGAAGGGGGAGTAATATGACTGAACCACAGTTGTATAAAAAAAAAGTTTGAGCATTTAGAAGCAATAAAACTGTCAAAACCACTACCAGCTTAAACTCATAAGACTATCGTTTTGCTTTGATGCAATAGACTATGTTTGCACACTGTTTTATCAAGTGTCTGAAAGTTGATACTAATTTGAAAAATGTAGACTGATATTGTAGGGTTAAGATTCATTCCGTAGATCAACTTGAAAAAGCATTTAAAGAAAAATGAAAGGAGATAGAAATGTATGGATTACTATGTTCTGCTAAGGAAAATAGATATTTATTTTCATTAAGTTTAAAAAATAATCAATAAGCTTGACAAAAATTGGCACTGCAGAAATAAAGAATTATGAAATTATGTTTTTAAAATAATAAATGTTTGGCACAGTCTAAAGACAAAATCAACAGACAAAATTCGTGTGAATATTTCAGTTGGAATTGTTTGACATGCAAATGAAATTATTGTTTTATATTAATTCACAGCCTCCTACAGTGCCATCTGTTGTTTTATATTTATTCCCTCCTACAGTGCCAACTGTTGTTTTAATTTGTGACTAATTTTGATACTCTGAAAAAAATAATGAATTGGTTTCCTCAGCAGAACAACGCAAACTGTACATTTCTCGTTCTTTCATTTTTTTCGTTGATTTTTAAATTGTCGTTAATTAGTTGATTTTTAAATTTTAGTTGATTATGTACCGCCTGCAGAGGTGTTAACTATATTACAGTTTATCGTAATTATTACTATTTCATAGTCAAGATTATGCACATCCATTGTATATGTATTAATCAATAATATTTAGCTATATAGAATTAAATAGTGAATGCACATTAAAATTGCTCTAATTTAAATTTTGTAAATGCTAAATGTATATATTTCTGTGTTCTTGTGTTTCGGATTACTGATAAATGGCACTTCCGCATTTGATAAAATTTCAGATATTTTTTTAATTCCAAAATAATAACACAATAAAACTAGTAAAATTTTTTTTAATTTTAAAAGTATGTGATTCGATTAAATTTATAAATCTTTGTACCGGACACTTTCATTTATTTCATTTGAATGCAATGCATTTGAATTCCATACAATGCATGTAACAATAAAACTAGAAAAAAAGTGTTTTTTTTAATGCATGTGATTTGATTAAAAAATTACCAATTTTTTGTTACCAATTTGTAATTGCCAAACATATTCAAGATGACAAATTTGTCGCCCATGCCTATGATTTAGCTGAACATTTGGTGAGAATTGCCGCCTACTTTTGTATGTTTAATGCTCCTCGAAATCTTCCAGGTTCAAATGTTCAAAACTATATCTCTTTTTTTTTTTCCATTGTTGTATATTTAAAACTCATTAATATGATTGATTTTTCCCTGTTGATTTTCTGGTGACAAATAATTGATGCGAAATTCTTAATTTTTAGGTATACGATCCTACCCTCGGGAACCTTGCAAATCGCTGAGGTTACTCTGAGTGATGAAGGCAGCTACAAATGTCTTTGTGAGAATATTGCCCGACAAAGAGAAAATTCTGAGGCAGCTCTGACTGTTGAACCCAGTACGTTCATAATCTCTAATCAAGTTTTTCGTGCTCTGTTTTTTTTCCTTTTCAAATATTCATAAGAGTAGATTCATCTGCCTAATATAGTTAGCTAAACTGAATTGTATTATGTAACTTTAAATTACAGAAGATCTTTATAATGCAAATCTTTAAAGATTTTTAGACAAAAATATTTCTTTATATATTTTTCCTGATCTTGAATAATTAAACAAATAATGTTTGGCTTAGTTAAAGAAATTTCTCAACTGCAATTTTCATTGTTTACACAAAAATTAATGCAGTTTATGGCGAATCGTTTATATAGATCTATGGTATTTACTTTTAATTCATAAGAATATACATGTATACCTAATTAATAAAATAAGTTCAGAACATTAAGATGTATTAATTTAGAATATTGTAGGCACGTGATTCTTCCACCTATTGCCGGAAATCTGCCATTTTGATGCTTTTGGTTTGGTAAATTCTGAATATATTAGACAGTGACCGCATTCCCCAATTTATTCTACAAATTCAGGATTTTTTCAAATTTGTAATATTTTGTGAAAAATGAATAATTTTTGAGATGCTGCTGAGATTAACGACGTTGAGATTTGAGTATTTCTCGTATGTCTGTAGCAGATATAATAAGAGAACGAGGACAGTTGGATCAATATCGACACATGCCGTGCATAAATACACCTGTGAAAATTCTTAAGTTTTGCTTATATTGTTCTTTTAAAAATTTACCGGGGTGACTGTGTTTCAGTAAAGTACCAAAATAATAGAATTATTGCTTCAGTTTTCTCCTCCAATTTTTCTTTATTGATGGTAACACAAATTCCTTGACACTCTGAATGAGTAATAGTGTATTTAAACAGTTTATAAAATATACATCACATTTTGTGTTTAAGTGGTTAAGGAATTACTCATCACGTTGCATATTAAAATGATTTATCACTATAGCAATTTACAATTAATTTCATGTAATTTAGGATTCTTTATATTACATGTTCTTCAAATTAATATTCATATCGAACTGAATTAAGACTTACACAAGTCAATTTAATCTCTGTTTGCAAGTCGCACATGCAATTTCAGTCTTCAGATTCTCCCCATTTCATTTGCAAATAAGCAGTTCATATTCGATAGGAGTAAAAACTTGCTGTTGCAAGTTTAGTTAAGGATTCTAAATGGTGAATCCTCAAAACAATTTGCGTAATCACCCTATAAAAATTATGGTTAGAACATACCTGCTAAGTCTTCTGTTTTTTAACAAAGACTCCTGTATTTTACGACTATCTCCTGTTTACTCGTAGATTCTCAAATTTCCCTGTATTTGTTGAAGAAATTTTATGTTGAAGAAATTTTAAATATATATATGTATATTTTGCGATAAAATATCCGCTGATGGCAAAAATACTTCCTATTCCTCTAGAGATAATGTTACAGCTAGTACTGCAGTATGTTGAGTGTTAATAGTTTTAAGTAGGAGCCGAGATAGCCTGGTTGGTTAGGTGTTGGACTCATGTTTGTGAGAATGGAATTTCGAGTCCAGCCGGCCAAAGAATCCCTGTGTATTAAATTGTGACCGATACTCGTTAAATCTGTCGAGTCACAAACTCTTCCAAGTTCCCATAACAAATCAATACCTCTGGGGGTACTGATCCAAGAATTCCCTTGTCTTCTGGATTAGGATTAAAATTACAAGGTTACGGAGTTGAACATTGGTAGTCGTAAACCCAGATTTGGGTCGGCTGTTCAACAACTGTTATACAATAAAATAGTTTAAGTAATTATAAATAATGGTTTAAAAAAATCTTCTTTAGATTAAAATTTGTATACATATTTTTTGCTTTACTGAATGTGAGTGCTTACATTATTTCCAATTTTGAATTTCTCCTTTTGACTTACATGATTAAGCACATAGATTCTCAACCTTTTTAACGTTGCCGCCCCCTTAAGGAGCAAAAAACATTTCAACGCCCCCCTTCGTGAAAATGCAGTTGTTTAGAGCATAGGGACGGAGGGAGGTGTGCTGAATTTTAAGCAAAATCTTAATTTCTTTAAGCTTCAAATTTGTTTGGTTTCTTTAAAAAATATAATGTGCTCATTAACTCGATAATTCTCTCGCGGCAGGTAATCGCAGTCTATTTGTTATAATAAAAATAAATACGTTTAATGAAAAAAATACAACAAAGAAACCTATGCTTAAAAAAATAATTTATTCTCAATTAGATAATTAAAAAAAACAACCAAAATGATTTTTAACACCTTTTAGTGTTAAAAATCATTTAGTAGTATCAGCGAAACATTCAAGTAACTATGTTAGTGGGATGATTGTACTTAATGGTTCAGAATCAATTTCTTAACGATCGGCTCAATACTTTTAGTGAGATGAAGACGCTAATCCCCTCGTTGCACAATTTTCAGTCGATTTCTCCTTTTTGTGATAAGATCTGTAACAACATTGATTCCACGTTCGACAAGCTAGGGGGAAGGGGAGGCAATTAAAAAATGTTTAATGATAGTCCACAGTTCAGGATAGAGACGACTGATGTTACTTTTAAGCAAAAATTCTGTGAGACGATCATCATTTCAAAGTTTACTTAGTTAAAAGTTCAACCAATTCCTCGCAAATCTGAACCTCTGCTGTTTCAATATTCACAAAAGGGTTCAGAACCCATAAACCCATTGAGGCACTTCTAGGGAACAAAATATATTTAAAACGGTCAGAAAAGTTCATGTACAAAGAGTAAAGGTGTTGACAATATTCTTGTGCGTCATCAGAGTGAATTTCGCCTGCTTGGCTGAACTCATTCCAACTAAAATTCTGCTTCCACGAAATGAGTTTTTTTTAGAAAGGCAGAAATAACTGATTTTGTAGGGATCAAATTGAGCTCGTTGCCTTGCAGATGTAAATTATTACCCTTAAATTTTACAGATAAATCTGTCAAAGTCTTAAATTCTAGCAATCTGTCTCTCAGAGCTACATCTCTGTTTTCGAGGAACTCAAGCATAGAGTCGAAAAGATTCCAATACCTATTGAGGCAGAAGCTTTTGGAAAGTCAGCTAATCTCGGTGTTATAGTAGCAAGTGATTGAATTCTTTATCGTTTTTCTTTCACAGCTGTCTGAATAATCAATCGTAGAGAGCATTACAATGAACTTTGATCACAGCAAATATGGCATATTGCAATGATTGATGCAAACGGTTGCTGAGATTTTCCCCTACTAAATGCTGTCTGTGAATCACGCAGTGAACAGCTAAGACATCTGGTACCTTCCTTTCCCAAAGTGCAATGTCTACCCACCATTGCAGGAGCCTATCAGTGATAATAGACATAATATTCGCAAGAGGAATGTTTTTCTCTTTAAAATAATCTTTAAAAGTATTAAAAATAGATTTACCTTTGATATCTACAATCAAGCTTTTTGCAAAAAGCATCTCTTAAATAATTTTTCCTACCTTTACAAACCGGACCTATGCCTACAGTAAAGCCTACATTACCTGGTAAGGTTGATTTATCAACTTAAAGGGAAAATTAGTTGGATATCAAAAGTTTGCGTAAAGAAATTTCAACGTCTTCAGCCAATTCATCATTTCGTCGCCGCACTGCATCGTTGCTTACGGGATATTTTTTTATTACAATGGATGCGACTGGATGGTGTAAAACTGTTTCTAAAACTTCCTTGACAAACGGCAGTATCAACTCTGCTCCGATGGTATGAGCTTTCCCAGATTTAGCAATAAATTTTGATATATTATAAGAAGCTATTAAACCATCGTCGCATTTTTCTGATGAGGTTGTTAGTAACCCAGAGACCGAAGGTACCTTCAGAAGCGTGAAAGAAGATGTTCATGAAAAATGCCATTTTTTTGTTTTGTTTGTCAGGATAAGTTTTTTGCAAATGCTCCTGATAACGGTCAGATTTCATTACCTCATTAGATAAAACTTTATTACAAAGTAAACACATAGGTAGTTGAGAGTTCAACAGTGATTGAACAAATCCCAACTTCAAGTATGCGGCACTGCATTGATGACACCTCTTTTTATTAACCGATATGGTTGGTGGCTGGGGAAAAAACTGTAATGAAGCTAAGAAAAACCATTATAAGAAACACGGGTCAAATCAAAAATTCATACTGAAAGCGCAATGACTTCAATTTTCACCAAATGACTTGAATAAGTCAAAGGCAAAAGGTACAGACTCATGCGCTCAGGTGTGTTGGTTCGGATCGGAGAATAGGTGCCGTATAAGTTCGTTTTATTGCTGATAAGTTCGTTTTATTGCTGGTACAAATGGTGTATCGGATAATCTTTATTTATTAAATTAATTTAATCTTTTTTCTCTTTAATATTAATTTTAGATTAATTTTATTTATTAAATAAATCTTAATTTTATTTCTAAGTTTTAAATTTGAATGAAAAAACATGCTCATCGCCCCCTACCGCCCAAAACATACCCAACGCCCCCCTACTGCCCAAAACAAGTTCACCGCCCCTCAGCATACTCCCAACGCCCCCGTTGAGAACCAATGATTAAGCATGTAGTCCAAAAATGTCGCTAGTAAAATCTCCGTTATTTTACTTCTCGAATGTTGGCAGGTATGTTAGCAACTTGTTTAATAGATCTAAAATTTTTTTTGAAGATAAGTTAAGTTTGTAATATTCAGAGTTATTTTTTTTAAATTTTAGGATCAGAAGAATTCCAACCACCAGTATTTTTGAGTCCTGCTGAAGAAGTTATAGCCATTAGTAACAGTTCAGCTATTTTGGAGTGTTTTGCAGATGGTTTTCCAGTGGTCGAGCTTAGCTGGAGGAGAGAAGGTATAATCATGGCTGTTTTTCCCCCATTTAAAATAAGCCCATGCATTGTATTGATGCATTATTTTCCTATATTAAATAAACTCTGCATTTATGCATTGTTTTCCTTAAAAATATGCTGTAATCCTATCTCTATCATTGGAGAAGAACAAATTTAAGGTTTTAATCAACAAAACAGTGAAATTCAAAAATTTATAGTGAAAATATCATTAGTTGCTGCCATATTTTGATTTATCTCCTTGCATTCTACCCCTCTTGAAATCATGTGTAAATTTCTTAAATTAATTGTTATTTATAATTAATTAATAATTGACTTGTTTCATTTTTCGAAAAGGTTTTTTAACTGATTAATTTAAAAAAAAAATTAGTACGCTGAATGAGTATGTACAAGTTTAGTTAGCATTAAAAATTTAATAGAAATGTTCCATTTTTTTCTGTGTTTATAAATTTTAAGTGCGATGCAAGACTGGAAGATATTAACCGATTTTGAAATTTTTTACATCAGTTATTTTCTTCTTTTTACATGAGGAATCTTTTCTGCATTGTAGTGTTTTGAAAATAAACTTCAGCTTTTTTAGCTTACCTAATATTTTTATTACAATAGATGTTCAATTATTCAAACTATTTGTAGTTTTACAGTAAAGTGTTGTTTATTCTGATGCAGATTGATAGAGTTATCAAATCAATCAAAGGACCATGTATATATTTTTTTTGCCTTCTCAAGCAAAAATTTTTCTCAAAAATTTGTCGTCATCTTCACATTCTTTAAAGGGGAAATGTTGTCTCTTGGTTATTTAAAAGGAAAAAAAAAAAGAAATTCCTAGGAGAAAAATTGTGGACAGAGAATGAAAATGCAGAGAAATTACTCTTAGAATTTGAAAGTTTTTATCAAATCTGAAAGTTATGTTTTATTATGTTGATGAAAGTGAGCTCAACTGGATTTTGACAAGAAAAATAATCTGTGAAAAAGAACCATATCCAATCATAAGCGGAAAATGTATGAAAGGAAGTTACTTAAAAACAATGTTAAAACTTTTTTAGAAAGTGATCCAGAGTCCTGGATTTTTTTATGACCCGAATTGGCCTCTAGTGTGTGACTTCTGATTATCAGCCCTCACTATACTTTGAAAAACTTAGTTGATAAATACTTTAAAGAAATATTTCAGTAAAAAAATTAGCCTTTAAATTTTTTGGATTCTCTATTTAATTTGGGCTTTTTTTTCCATAGATGGGAAGCCTGTATCAGGGGAGCTATTGGGAAAGGGCAATCTTTTAATTCCTCAAGTACAACCTGATGATGCCGGCACCTACATTTGTTCTGCTAAGTCTGTGAATAAAGAGACAAACCAAATGGCAGTTGCAATACAAAAATATTCCTTAAATGTACATGGTGAGTTCTTTATCTCTAGTTAATAATGTTCTTTTAGTTTTTCATGAAAAAGAATTATATATTTTTCCCCATTTTGGAGTAACTTTGTTGTTTTTTTAAATTTTTAAAGTTTGTATTTTTAAAATTTTTCTTTCGTTGTTATTTAAACAATGAATATGCAAAAACACAATACTATAAAGAAATTTTTTGAGTTAGTTTATAGTAGAATTTCTGAAGAATTTTTAGTGTGTGAAAAAGGTATTTTCTGTTTTTTTATTTTTTAAAAATTGTTATTTTAATTATTAATGCATTTCAAATATTAAATACACGAAGTAAGATACTTTAAGAATTATTATAGCCACTTTCAAAATGTAAGTATGAAAAATGATTGATGAAAATAACCACCTAAATTTAACTCTGACTTGTACAATTTTTCTGGCATTGGTTTAATTTTGGATTCAACCGCTTTTGATCTATATTTATGTTTAGTTATTAAACTATTAGCAATTATTAGTTATTAAATTTGAAGGAATAATATTTTAGTTCATTGTGACTTTAAAAACAGTGTTTTATTTATAAACAATTTTAAGGAAATAGAAATTTTAAATTTTTGATTTTATTTTAATATGGAATTTTGAGTTTATTATCACCGAAGGCTATTTGAGAATGAGCAATAAATTTTACTATAGTTTTAAGAAATAGATAAAAAGCAACAACAATTTCATTTTTGTTAAGTTACTACACTTTATTAAGGAAGGTCGTTCAAAAGTTATGAAAGTATGTCTTCGTCCCTCGTCCCCTTGTCAGCAAAAATAAGTAAATTACAAACTTCCCTCACATGCTTATGTAACTCTTCTGTAAGAAAGTGATATTTTTTTAAAGTTTTTGCTGTAGTAATTAAATTTTAAGAATTTTCGAATTAAATTAAATAAAAAAAATCCAATGCTCCATATAACATTAACTTTGATGTATGTCAGTTTGTAATCTTCCCTTGTTAAAATCAAGACTTTCTAATGCAATTTTCAAAATATTTGTTGGCCTATTTTAATAAAAAATTGTGTAACAATTTATGTTTATTCCACAGTGCCACCAAAATTTTTAAAAGTTCCTCAAAGCCAAGTTATTCCTACTGCTCAAACCGTGAGATTTGATTGTGAGGTTGAAGGTATACCTGATGTCTCCACTCATTGGTTAAGAAATGGTGAACAACTTTATATTAACGGCAGGATAAAACTTAAAACTGGTAACACACTGGTGGTTTCTCAGACAGTTACTACTGATTCAGGAATTTATCAGTGTGTTGCATCCAACTCAGCTGGAGTTAATGTATCATCAGCTAGATTAGTGGTAAATGCATCAAGTAAGTGCTCGTCTCTCTCTTAAAATTGCTATCCAGAATTTTATTCACTGTTTATTCTCTCTGATTTTTTTTATTTTTAATCTCTTACTACTGGAATTAATCCAACAGATCACTAATTCAAAATTAAGAATATCAGAAAAGATGATGAAACAAACAGTATATTCTGAAACCTGTGAAAAGTTTTTGCAGAAATTTTTGAATTTAGTTACTAACATTGCACTGTATGCATGATACTAATGCCTTTGAACTGTATTCTAACCAACTATATTCCAATGCTACAAACGCACCTTGTTCAATAAAATAGATGATTTAAACTTTCTAATCTAGTATGAGAACTTTCTTTTATGTTTCAATGCTATGATTGATCACTGGCTGGTAGCTTTTGTAACTAAATTCAAAATTTTCTGTGTAAAATATATTTATAGCTTTCACAATAGACATTTCACAAATTTGTATCACCTTTTGTTTCCAAGTTTATTTGATTTTGAAATCAATCAGTTATTCTATATCTAGATAAGTTTTATTTGCATCAAGAAGTCAGCTGATTTCTCTTGTCTGGAAATGTTCCCACTCATTAAAATAATTGACTTAATTTTTTTTTATAGTAATAGTTGTCACTGCTTATGTTAGTGCTGTAGTTAAATTCTGTAGTTAAAACTTTTTAGTGTTTCCATTCTCATTCTATTATATGTGTTTGCTCTCAAAATCTAAGATTTGACATTACAAATAAAAAAGAAGTTTTCTGATGAAAAATTGCATGGTATAGATAAATTATGGTGTGTGTGTGTGTATATATATATATATATATTTTCTGAAATTGAGTGGGAACCTTCTGAAAATTAAAAGGAAAAAGAAAGTTATTTCCCAAACTTTGCCATTTGTAAAATTATTTACTAATTAAAAGAAAAATCATACTTTAAAATATATTAATTTTTCATAAAAACAAGACAAAATCAATTACTGCAATTTTTGAATTTTAAGTTGCTGTACAGCATTATTTCCCATCAGTTGAGAAAAGTTTTGTATCTCATTTTGACTTATTATACATATGATGCCATAAATATTTTTAGGTAATCAGCCTCAACCTCCATCAAATTTGAAAGCAATTACCGCTTCCAGCAGTGCCATTTTACTTTCCTGGGATGCAGTACCATCTCCTCCTTTAGCTCCTATTCAAGCTTATACTGTTCACTATGTCCCTACTAAAGGTGATTACTGTGATTGTACTTTTTTTCAGTATTGATATCATATTTATTGCACTGTGTTCATTGGATAATGTGTTTGTGTTCATTGTATAATTACTATACATAAACTGTGTTCATTGGATAATGTGTTTGTGTTCATTGTATAATTACTATACATAAACTGTGTTTATTTGATAATTACAGTTTGATTTAAGTGTATAAAAATTAAACTAAAAGTGTAATTACTCAAAATAAGTAGTGATTATAATAATGTTTTTTCTTTAAAAAATAACAATATTATAGATAATTATGTAATATCATGAAAAATATGATTGATATATTTTTGCTTTGTGCTTAATTGTCCTTTTCTGGCAATTAAATGCTTGATTTGTCTTCACTAGAGTAATCGAGTAGCACTATCTGTAATAATAGCTGAGTGCTTTTAACTTGCTACTGAAAAGGCATTGAATAGCCAACACTATCTGTAATAATAGCCTAATGCTTTTAACTTGTTACTGAAGAGGCATTGAATGGCCAACACTATCTGTAATAATAGCTGAATGCTTTTAACTTGTTACTGAAGAGGCATTGAATAGCCGAAGTGCCATATTTAGTGTTCTACTGTAATTTGAAATGATAACTGACTAAAAAAATACTCCTCTCTTACTTTGTTAGAAAAAATTGTAAGTGTTTTTTGTGCATGTTTTAAAAGTGATTGAGAATCTTCTGATAAAAATATACTGATTAAAATGATAAATTAAATTATTCCATGATGCATTTTCACATAGGGGGAAAAAAAAAACGTTTCAATAATTTAAGTAAAAATTTTCCTTTATAAAAAGTTTATGACTTTGACTCTTAAAATTTTCCTTTTTGTTTTTAGGTGGCATCAAATGTGGCTGTTTAAGTTTAATTACCAACTTTTATGTTTTTTTTTTTTACAGGGGGAACTGAACAAGATGCTGTGGCTGTAAACACTACTCTCTTGGTAGATCGTTTAAAGCCATATACAAATTACTCATTTTATGTCAGAGCCTACAGCCATAAAAGTGCCAGTGAGCCTTCTCAAACAATAGTACAAATGACAGGAGAAGATGGTACGACCTAATTCTATTGATTGATTCTTTCATTGTAAAAGCAGATGTGCTTTTTCCCCCTACTTATCTCTAAATAACTAGCATGGATGCCCAAGGAACAGGAAACTCATAAAGAACAGGGAAAAGTCAAGAAATTTTGTCTATCTAGATCAATAAGAAAAATTTTATGGAATTCAGTTTCAATACCCTAAAAGTCAAGGAAAATGAATTAATTTGAGTTAGGTACCACTAAGTCCAACATAGATAAACGAAGCACAGGTTACCATAAACGAGAAATCCGATCCCGATCCTCGAGTAGTTACAACTGTGTGACATCTTTTATGTTTCCCTACTGCACAGTTTTGTAGCCAGAACACGGTGTCATCTTTTTCATTTTTCCTCCACTGCACAGTTTATGTTATTTAAGTCGTACTACTAAATTGATACTTTTGGAAACCTTTTCTCCTCTAAGAGGTATTGCCCAGATCTAACATTCGTCATACATTAAATGGCAAAATGTATTGCTTGAAAAGTCCTGAGGTATGTAATACAATTGATTCAAAAGGCTTGTTTTGCGCGAGTTTTCGTTGTTTGGAAACCCTTTTTATGTACAAAGGAATCAAAAACCTTTTCAACAAAAAGAACTATTTTTTAAATTTATTTATTTTTTAAATTAAAAGAAAAGTTTCATGTATATAATATATTAAGACTCTTAAAAGCGAGTGGAACTCATATTTATAAATGTTTACGTTTTAATAAATTATCAGAATTAGTCTTTAGAAATTTTCATTCTTGAACGGTGATTTTATGCAAACAATTCTAAGTAAATATTGATAAAGCTCTTCATGATGATAATATATATGTATATACGTATACATATATATATTATCAACTTATACCTGTATTATTATATATATTATCATATATATATATTAGCCAACTGCTCCATATCCGACAAAATAAGTTAAAAAATAGTGAACTTCAAACTAAAATTTGCAAATTTTCAGTTAATTTTCCCAATTTTTTAAAAGGCTTAACACGTCTAAACTAACAAAGTTTTATATCATATAACTCCTAGTATTATATGGATATATATTCTTAAACTGAACACTCAGCCTCCCATTGTAGCACAATAAAAATGAAACATAATAGCATTTAATTTTATAATGCTCTTAAGACTATGACAAAAAATGTATCTGACTTATAATTATTTAATTTTTTTTAAAAATTATACTGGCTAAAATAGACTTTTAATATTTTGCAACTGTCTAACTCAGTGGTTCCCAACCTGGGGGCGATCGCCCCAAAGGGGGCGATGGAGCTTCTCAAGGGGGCGATAATCCTTAGGGGGGCGATCAGGGGGCGACGAGTACTCAAAAGATAAAAATTGCTAATAATATTAATAATAAAAGCTATTTGAGATTGAAATTGAAAATATATATGAAACCTATGGTTCTGGTGTAGACAAAGAATTATGATAGTTAAAAATTAAAAAAAATTCAAGTGCAGGATCGTTTTCGTCATACGTTTTGGTATCGCAGGCGGAAATCTGATAAGTCACTCTGTTCCTCTGAGCAATAATACTGTTTCCAGGCGTATTGATGAGATGGCCGCCGACGTTGAATCAAAACTCATCAAATTTCTGAAAGAAGGTAAATTTGCGTTGCAGATTGATGAATCAACTGTGATAGATAACAAAGCTGTTTTAGCTTACGTGAGATTCATAAATGAGAGTAAGGAGATTAACGAGGAAATGTTGTTTACAAGAACTTTGAACACAGATACAAAAGGATCGTCGATTTTTAAATTGGTCAAAGATTATTTTGAGGTAAAAGAAATTCCCCTCACAAATGTAAGTGCTTGTGCAACAGATGGTGCTCCAACCATGTCTGGTTGTCATACTGGGTTTCTGGGTCACCTTAAAAAAGAAGTACCGGAAGTTATCTCACCATTCATTATGTCATTCATCGTCAACTTTTGGCTGCGAAAAATTGGTTATTTCTGGCATCAATAAAATAAAAGCTAATTCTCCTAATAACCGTTTGTTCCGAGAACTTTGCCATGAAAATGATGAAGATTTCGAATTCCTGCTCCTACATACAGCTGTGAGATGGCTTTCAAAAGGAAACTGAGCCGTTTCTTCGAATTGCTGGATTCGGTTACTGAGTTTCTCGACACCACTGATCTTGTTTTAAGTGAGAGTTTGAAGCAACGTAAGTTGGAAACTGCGTACCTCACTGATAGTTTTGAAAAAATGAAGGAAATTAACGTAAAACTCAAGAAAATAAAATGAACATTATCAAGGCTAAGGGAATCATATCTTCATTCATCGCCAAGTTTGATATCCACTAGTCAAACACTGGTCGCAAAGAGCTAATGCAATTTTCAACTCTTAAAAAGTGTTAAATGGCAGATATCGCGATTCTCGAAAATAAAATCTTAATTTTTACTGATCACCTTGATCAATTATGGAATGGAATCAAGATTTAAAGATTTGATGAAATTAGAAATTCCGGAATGGATTTACGATCCTTTCTCTTTTGAATTTGTGGATAAGCTCACTTCCTCTTTGTAGACTGAGATTTTAGATTTGAAGTATGACTGTGAGGCTAAAGTTGTCTTTAAAAAATGCGGTTACGAGTTAGCTTGGGTATAGGTTATGAACACTTATTCACAATTGTGGAAACAAACTGAGCCGCTTCTCATCTCGTTCCCGTCAACATATTTAGTGAAGAGAGGATTAAGTTCTATCTTCCAGCTGCTCACAAAGCAAAGAGATAGGTTAGACATTTGCTTCAAACGAGACCCGCGTTTAAATCTGACGAGCATAAAACCTGACATTCAAGCTTTAACTTGAAATACACCAAGCACAGGGCAGTCATTGAAGTGGTAAAAATGTACTTTCTCCCTCTTCACTTTTTTTCTCAAATTTTAGTTGTTAACGCTGTAACTTTTTCTTGATTACATTAAGATATGAATTTTAAAAAATGTACTTTTGTTTTGATTATTCCGTTTTAAATATCATTTCTTTTTGAAAAGAAAAAGATGCACAATTTTTTTTAATTAATANTAAAAAAAAGTAGTGAACTTCAAACTAAAATTTGCAAATTTTCACTTAATTTTCCCAATTTTTTAAAAGGCTTAACACGTCTAAACTAACAAAGTTTTATATCATATAACTCCTAGTATTATATGGATATATATTCTTAAACTAAAGACTCAGCCTCCCATTGTAGCACAATAAAAATGAAACATAATAATATTTAATTTTATAATACTCTTAAGACTATGACAAAAAATGTATCTGACTTATAATTATTTAAATTTTTTTAAATTATACTGGCTAAAATAGACCTTTAATATTTTGCAACTGTCTAACTCATGTGCTTTCCTTTCTATTTCAGTTCCTCTTGTTGCACCAAAAATAAGACTCACCAGTTTAAGTCCAACAACGTTGCATGTGCAGTGGGATGAGATGCCTTTAGAGGAATCTCGAGGAATAATAACCGGGCATCGCATTTACTTCCGCAAACACAAACAAGCCTCTTCTAGTGTTCGAACTGTTAATGTTGCCACTGAATACACTATAACAGGTAAATCTATTTTTATTGCACATATAGACAAACTAAATTGAGTGCATAATTGTTTTTCCTATAGCGTATTTAGAGATATTTTCTCACCAGCCAATTTTTTGCTCTTGCCAAAATTAATTTTCTCAAGTAGATAGTAAGATGACAGTTGAATTACAATTGTAGGCAAAAATATTTTTTTATTTTACTAAAAGCTTAACACACTTTTGCTTGATTATCTTGTCTTTAAATATATGCTTAATTTGTATATAGGTGGCTAAAATCATTTTTTATTAAATTTATTAATTCAAAAATTTAATTAATTAAATTTATTAATAAATAATTAATATTTTAATTCAAATTATATTTAATTATATTAATTTATTAATTCAAATTATTATATTTACTTAATTTATTAATATTAAATATGAGAGGAAATCATAAATTTTGTTGCAATTTTAACCACTTTTTTGTCAGATTTTCCCCCTTCGAATTTCTAACAAAAAAAAGCACTTTTTTATTGCTGAAAATTAATAAATGCTCTATTCTAAATTCAAAAGTGCTAAATAATTTCATCAGCGAGCACTTTTTTTGGACCTATTGGTAGAGAGATATGTGTTGTGTACGCCCATTGATCTCCAGTTTTCCTTGCAATGCACTCAAGTTTTATCGTAAAAAATACACTGTGATAACAAATTTCTTAATAAGGTGTTTAAGATAAATATCTGCATAAAATTATTATTTATTATAATAAGTAATTAATAATTATTATAATTAATTATAAATATCTGCATTAAATAATTAATGTAAATAATAATTAAAATTTAGTAACTATTTTGACATGGAACAGTAACACTAATGAAAGCAAAATTACAGAAAGTTCAGAAAGATTTTTATTTCAATTCAAGGCAGGAAATTTCACTGCATTGCACCATCTCTTTGCAATATTCAGAATTACGAAAATAATTGCGGGATTTGAAGAAATGTGTTAGAAGCAACAAATTAAATTTCAATGATGCAATTTTTCTGTTAATCGCATGTCATGCGACACCAACCATATGCCACAAAACGCCAAACGTATGATATGTGACGTCGGCAGAGAAAGAGTTAAATATAAAAATAAAATCTTAAATTTTTTAAAAAAAGTTGGCAGCTATATACTGTGAAAACACTCAAATTTCTATGTTTTAGGGCTCTTCTAGTGTTTAAACATTTAAAACAATTGTTACAATTCCATTATAAGTTTTTATCGCTGAGGATCACATTTCGATGAAACTAAGTAGACATTTGAAAATTCTGGAAATAGAAAACTATCTACAAATTATAATAATTTTAAATAAATTCTATATATTTCTCTTGACTGTAATGCTGGCCAGGAGGTCATGTGTTCGTATTTATTTTATAATGCTGTGAATGAAAATATTTCTGTCTTAGTGTAGTGGATTGGCAATCAAGAATAATTTGTAATCGAGATGTTGTACCATCAACGTTCATATAAATCAAAAAGCGTTGTGAAAGAACTTGTTCGGGCAATCTTTGATGAAATGTTTGCTGTGATTTCTACTCATTGTAAATAAGTCTTAGAATTTGTTAAACATCATGTTTACGAAATTGAATGTTACAAATTGCTGTTTAAATCCTTTATAAGACCTTGGTGTATCAACACCTCCAACTTTGTTAATTTATAAAAGCCAGTCAGCTAGTTTCGTGTCTAGGATTTGGGTGAATATTGGGGATGCTGAAAACTTGGAAAAAAAATGCCATTGATGGGCTTTGTTTACACTGTGAATAACAGTAAAGGTTAGTGTGGGGTCAAGAAAAGAGGCCAACGCTTGAAATATTATGTGTTTGCTCATTTGATAATTTTTCATTGAGTTTATTAATGGTTATAAGCAGACTATTTATTAATTTGGTTATTTATAAGCCAGAAAGTTCAAGTTTATGACCAATTCATTACAGTGGGTAAACTTTTGATATTCCCACCAAATATATATATATATATACACTCATGTCCATAAATTAAGGATAATTCAGAATCACACGGAAATCAAACTGTAAAATTAAAATTTCACCTGTAGAATTATCACGCACATCCCGAAGAAGAATATGCAAATTACAGGAAACCACTAGATGACGCTGGTAGTACGTCACAATGACGAGAGTGTAAGAGAGGGGTATATAAGGAATGGTGGCAAAGAAGTAAAATTGTTCAATAGCGCTTTAAAAGCCTTTAAGTGCAATAACCGCATAGTTATGGCACAAAGGAAGCTTTTGAATGATTTTTTAAGTGGCAGAATCATCGGACGACTGGAATGTGGACGTACCCAGCTGGAAGTATCCAAGGAACTTGGAATCACCCAGAGTGTCATCTCCAGGCTTTGGCAACGATTNTTTATATATATATATATATATATAGTTTCAAAAATAGTCTAGTTTTAGGTAAGAACCAAATGAATTTCTTTTGATAAATCAATCAAAGTTATTTTAACATAATAAAAAAAATGGCCTTATCTGGGTTAATGTTCCATTAATTTTCAGGACTCATTCCTAAACAAAAGTATGATGTTAGAATGCTGAGTGGTACAAAAGCTGGCTTTCCTACTCTTCCTGAAGAATCTTGGCCCTGGCAAACCTATGAAATGCCACCTGCTTCCAGCTCCAAAGGTAACTTTCAATTTCTATTATTGATATTACTTGGAAACCAAGAATCTGATTTTTCTTTGTATGAACTACTGCACTATCTTGTAAATTCCATTCTTTTATAGTCGGACCTCTGGCTGATGAGTGTTAATATACAATTTAGGAAAATGGTCTCTAAAAGATTCAAAGAAATGAGTTATTTTTAAGTGACAGCTTTTATAGTTGTCTGTAAATATGACAATAATAAGCCTTGTTGAAAAGTTTTGCCATATCCTGGATGATCTTCAAGACTATGGAAGTAAAGGATATAGCAGTGATTCTGCTGTACTATGGAAACTAAGTCTCCTTAGGACCCAGTACTTCCATACATCTGGGTGGTCCTATTTAGATGGTGAATTTCCTACCTCTCTATCCATTTATTAATATTTGCATTCGTAATTATTCTATCTAACAATAGACAATATCGGAGATGATTGTGCTCCGGAAAAAATCTGGATTTTTCGTTGCCCGTGATCTGGAAATCCAAGATCCAGAAGTTTCAAGAAATCATTGATCACATTTATGTAAAAAATTTCTTGTATATTTAAAAATATAAGAACTAGAGTTTATACTTGGCATCTCTTTCATTTGTAAATATTTTTTTTCTGGTGGAATAAGAAATGTGATTAGAGATAGAAGTAAACTTATGCATAATTATTAATTTAAATTATGCTACATATAATTTATTTAGAATTTCATGCTGTGCAAATATCAATGATATAAATTTGTAAAGATAATAATTTTTTGAAATGCGTCATTAATGATTTTACTCAAGAAGTTTCCAGGATTTTTGAATAGGGCTTACAATCACCCCTGCGATACAAAGAATTTCAAAACTAGAAGAGTTATATTTGAACAATCAAGTATTTTAATTGGGGGTTGCATCAAGAGAAAATAATGATGTAATTTGACACTAAGAATTAATTACCATTAGCTACTAATAACAAAGCAAAAGAAGTTATATATATTTGTTGGCATGGTATTTTATTTCATGCTGGAGAATTATGCGTCCCCTCTCCGCTTTTTGATGTGTTACACTGTGCTGGAAGAGGTGACAATAAAGTATAAGCCTTATTCAAGAATTTCTGGGAAAATTCATTTGAAGATTTCAATCTCTTCTATTCAAAAATATATGATTAAATGATCTGAAAGTAATTAAATATTTTTTTTTCTTTCAGTCCCTTTCCCTCCCACTCTACATTTAACTGTTGTTAACAACACTGCTTTAGAAGTGAAATGGAGTATGACCCCCGATAACCCCTATCCAGTGACGGGCTATTACCTCTCGTACAGACAGCAAAATAAACCCCTCCAACAACCTATTTCCCTCCCTGCTAATGCCACTAAGTTTCTTCTATCTGACTTGGGTAAGATTCCAACTTTTGCAATTAGTATATTTCTATTTTTTGTAATACTGTCAAGCCTCGAACCATCGTTCCCGCATCTTTCGTTTTCCCATATGCATTATCTTGTTTTAATGGTCCTGTCGTAAGTGCTGTTCTTAATGTTAAAAATTGAGTTCTCCCTAGAAATAAAAAAAGGCAGAGTGCTTCTTTATAGAAATGAGAACTTTTAGTGTTGAAAGGGCACTCACTTTTAAAATTTATTGAAATGCACAATATTATGTAATTACCGAATTTGATCCTCAGTTTTTAAATTAACCTCTTACACTATTTTATGTTTGTTTCACAAAGTAATCCTCACTCATTATTAAACAAGAAGAAAAATGTGAAGCTTTTGTAAATTAAAGATAAGCTAAAAAGCAATCTCTGTGTATGTTTAAAATTTCTTCTTTTTCAGAAAAAAAAAATCATTAAAGGAAAAAGGATTAAGGGATTAAATGATAAAGCTTTTTTTTTTATATTCTAAACTGAAAACTATCAGAAAATAAAGGTGCATTTTTAAATTAAAAGTATTTATTTTAAGAAAAAAGTAAAATTTAAAATCACTAAAAAAATTACCCTTCCCAAATTAAAGGATTTCAATACCTTTGGAGCTGAATAATATGAGAATAATACACTATATAACTGGACAACATAAGAAAAATCTTACATTCATTATCCTATTATTCACATTATATTCATTATTCTTTTGCATTGTTGAAGTTTTTGCTTTTGACAAATAATTCGTTCAATTCAACATTTTAAAACTAATTATTAAAATATTATTTTTTTTAAATCCATTACTTTATTATTTTTCATATATTTTTAAATCATTGTTTGATATTTTAAGTTGACCTGCATTTAGCTTTTTCCTGTATCGATCATTCCTAGGAAGTGGTCCTTTGAGAAACGACAGTCTGAGGTTGTACAGTAGGGAACCGATTATCCGGAACGATCGGGACCATCGCTATTCCGGACTGATTTTTCCGGTTTTCTGAATCGCTACAAAAAGCCGTTTTTTTTATTATTAAGCTCAACAACAACAAAAAAAAAAATATTAGGAAATAATCTTAAAAAGAAGAAAAAACGATTAAGTAATACAGTAATGATTATTTCTGAAATGATGGTACGGTTAACATCTTTCAAAAAAGAAAGAAAAATCCTAAAATCTTATGAGGAAAATGTTTTTTAAAAAATGGCGGGAAAATTTATCGAATTTCGTTCCGGTTTTTTGGTTTTCCGGTTTTCTGATTTCCGGATAACAGATTCTGTACTGTACTGTATAGGATAACCTCTGAAATCTGAGTTTGGCATGTCTAGATTTAGTTGTATTATTTAAACCAGTAGAGTTGTAAGAGGAAAAAAAAAAGTTTTTCAACATTAGGATTTTTGGTCCTTACATCATGGTTTTTGATATTTTTTTTATAGTTATTGTACAGTTTTTCACAAGGCTTTTAAAGTACCTATATTTTTAATCCAATATTATTTCAATGTGTGACTATTGATTTTGTGCAAATGCTTTATCAGTTTTTGTGCTGTTCGGTTCCATAGTAAATCCCATGTGCTTTTTAATAATTTTTTTAAGCAGTCATTGTAGCATATTTCCAATTGTAAAATGACGACATGCATATTTCCAATGTTTATCTCGTGAATGCTATTGTATTTTTAATACGATGATTCTAGGATGCCCATATTTCTGTGATCACTTTTTGACAGGTTTGCTTTTGGACAATTTAATTGCAATATCTTTAATAGCTATTTTAAATAGTTTATATTGCAAATTTCAGTGTGGTTTTTTAATATTCTGTTTTTTTTTTTAACTCCTCCTCCCGATATCCCGATTTTACAGTACACCAAGTTGAGTGTTTGTTTCACACAAGGTGTAATAATTTCATAAAAATCATCTGCTTTTCAAATGATAAAGGACTTTAAAATTTCAGATTTTCAAGCTTTACCCTATATTAATGATTTGTAATATATAATTATAATTTAGCAATATATATCTTTTTCTGTATATGATTTTCTTTTGCATGTATAAGTAACCGTTCGCAATATATCCTTTTGATATTAGTTCAATTCAAAGAAGCGGTCAATTTCCTAATAAATGGGGCATCAGGTTCTTTTCTAATTTAAAGTTCATAACCATACATTGTTTATCTTGACTTTCAGCTGTTATAGCAAACATTTAATCTTTGGTATTGAATTTTGCATATTTTATCTTGCAAAGAGAAAAATTTCCTGTTAAAGTGTCTTTCATAGTTATTTTATGATAAAAATTGCTTATCTAGGAGAAATTTCTCTACAAATACAAAATATTAAGCCTGTTAATGAATCACTTTCTTTTTTTTTAAATCTTTTATCAATTGTCGTTTTTCTTATTCGTCCTCAACCAAACTATTACTGAATAACAAAGAGGGACATTTCTTGTTTCTTTCTTAGTTATTTTGTGATAAAATATCATATTGAGAAATTTTTCTGCAAACTTGCCTAAATGCAAAATTTTAGTTCAATTAATTTATCACTTTTTTTCCTCATTCTTCTTCAAAACAGTTAAATTGAGAGATGATTAACTTCCCAATTTTAAATGTCTAGAAGTTTTAAGCGATAAGTTATCAGCAAATTCAAAATTTGCAAAACTTTTTCATGAATCATAACATTTTGTTATTATTATTTATATATTATTAGAACTGTATTCATTTTTTTAAAAATTATTTTTTATCATTTATCTTGCAATTCTTTATTTGAAATTCATCATTAAACATGATTATTTATTGTGAGAGCTCTGATTTACTGCAGGTTAATCTGAGCAGGTCTATCACAACTTAAATTTTTATGTATACGAGAAAATTGTTCGAAATGAAATTCTTTACCATATTTTAGAATAATTTAAAAAACATACTTTAATAATTAAAAAAAGTTTTTTTTTCTTCAATAATGAAATATACTTTTTATTGAATTGTTTTAATTGTATTCTATTTCTAAATAGATCCCCAGTCTTGGTATGAAGTGCACTTGGTTGCATTCAATAAGAAAGGTGAAAGTCGAGAGGCTGTTCGCAACATCATCACTTTTTCGGGTGACAATCCGGACATTGAAACTGTTGAAGGTAATATTGATATTGTTAATTGGTTAACAATTGGTTAACAATACATATTGATATTGTTTATTGATATTAATAATGGTTTTAATCATTAATTTCCTTGTTCAACATTAAAGGCCAAATGGCGAGGTCACAAAATTAGTAATCCTATGTATCTCTGATTAAAATTATTTTACTCGGGCGAGCTTAGACCGCTAAACCTCAGCCCATTTTCAGTGCCTTGTTTTGAGTGCTTGAAACATGTTGACTTTTTCCACTTTAATTTATGAAATTATCCTATTTCATATCTTTCTACTTTAGTTTCCTGGGATTATTCATTTCGTTGTTTATAACTAATATTGAATCTATATACATCTTTATCTATGTATTATTTAATACTTTTAATGCTGCACTGCATACTAAAAATATTAATGTTGATTTTGCAAAGAAATAAATTTTTTTTATAGGTTTCTTGTAAATATTAAGAAAGAATTTTAAGTTTCTCTTAATTTAGTAATAGGAAATAATGGTCCATTTGCTTTAATTAGCTAATCTTCAAAATTTTGAGTTAATATCTGTCAAAAGTGAACCATTTATACTCATTGTAAATTATTTAGATGAAAATAACAGCCTTTCTTATTAGTGAGGATTTAGATTTTTGTTTTAAAAAAAAGCTTTTTTTATGTTTTAAAAGTTATTTTTCGATAAAAATTGTGATCGTTTCAGTTTAAAATTTTGTGAAAACTTGGAGTTAAACTGGTGAATATGCTTTTGCCAGCTTAATTGTTTAAAATTTTCTTTCATTCTTCTATTAATGTGTTTATTTTTTAAATTTTAGAGAGTTAAATGGCTAATTGTTCATAATTATTGTTAATTTTATTTGCTAACCTTAGTTTTTGAACTTTCCCATTAAACATAGCTTGTTTCTTATTTCAAATTATTCATCTGATTTTCTGTTTTCAGTTGTTGAACCTCCTCATCAATTAGATGCTGAACCTCTAAGTTCATCAAGTATTCGTCTCACTTGGAAGACACCAGAAACTAGTAGAAATATTAGTTATTATACAGTTCGATATCACCCAGTCTTTACAAATGGCCTAGTCAATGAATCCTACATATACTACATCAGAAGGTAAAAAGACAATGAAAAAATTTTTTTAGTCATTATTTTTTAAAAAAAATTATTTTTTAAGAAAGATCTATTTTTAAAGTGAACAGCAGGTTGGCTAACGAAAGGCTGCACATGTATTTAGACATGTTAATGACAAATACAGTAATGTTTATTTAAACATTAGCGTTCCATTTTTTTTATCAATAAACTTAATAATATCAATAACTTAGTAGTGTTCCATTATTAGAATTCATTCAAAAATAAAAAAAACTTATACTTTTTTTATCATATGATCAATAGATTTATCAAGATAAATAAACATTGAGGAAAAGAAATATTTTTTTTTTTTATCATATCATGCAATTACGAAAACTAATTTTAGAATTAAATTCTAATAAATAAAAAAAAACTGCTATGTCCACAGAATGAAAGTAGGAAAAAGTTTAGTCGTAATTAAGTAATATAAATTCAAATTAAATATTTTAATTGAAGAAAATTTATAGGTTTTAAACAAAAGCCTAAACAAATATCTA